CAACTTTGTGTCATCTGCAAATTTAGCCACTTCACTGCTTACTCCCAACTCCAAATCATTAATAAACAAGTTAAAAAGCAGCGGACCCAGTACTGATCCCTGTGGTACCCTCCACTGCTTACCACACTCCACTGAGAAAATTTCCCATTTATACTCACTCTCTGTTTCCTATTAATAAGCCAGTTTTTGATCCACAAAAGGACTTGTCCTTTTATCCCATGACTATTGAGCTTACTTAGGAGCCTTTGGTGAGGAACTTTATCAAAAGCTTTCTGGAAGTCAAGGTAAACAACATCTATTGGGTCCCCCTTGTCCACATGTTTGTTCACTCCCTCAAAAAAAAACTAAGAGGTTAGTGAGACCAGATCTTCCCTTACGGAACCCATGCTGAGTCTGCCCCAATAGTTTTTGTTCATCAGTGTGCTTACTAATTCTCTCCTTAATAACAGTTTACACCAACTTACCTGGCATCAATGTCAGACTGACTGGCCTATAATTTCCAGGATCTTCTCTGGAACCCATTTTAAACATGGGAGTGACATTAGCTACCTTCCAGTCCTCAGGAATGGAGGCAGATTTTAATGAAAGATTACATATTTTTGTCAGGAGATCCACAAGTTCACATTTGAGTTCTTTCAGAACTCTCGGATGTATGCCATCTGGGCCTGGTGATTCATTAGTTTTTAAATTGTCTATCAGTTGTAGGACCTCCTCTCTCATCACCTCAATCTGACTCAGGTCATTCAACACCCCTCCTGAAATCAGCGGTTCTGGAGTGGGCAAGCACTTCTCATCTTCCACAGTAAAGACAAAGGCAAAAAATGCATTCAGCTTTTCAGCCATTTCCCTATCATCCTTCAGTACTTCTTTTAACCCTTGGTCATCCAAGGGCCCCACTACCTTCCTGGCTGGTTTCCTGTTTCTAATGTATTTGAAGAAAGTTTTATTGTTGGTCTTTATGTTTTTTGCTGTGTGCTCCTCATATTCCCTTTCTGCCTGCCTGATCGCAGACTTGCATTTTATTTGCCACAGTCTGTGTTCCTTTTTATCAACCTCACTGAGACTAGCTTTCCACCGCTTAAAGGAATCCTTTACAGCTTCCATTACTTTGTTTGTTAACCATGCAGGCTTTCTTCTATACCTATTTGTGCCTTTCCTAACCTGTGGTATATATTTTTCCTGAGCTTCTAGGATTGTAGTTTTAAACAGTCTCCAAGCTTCCCAAATGGTTTTGACCCTTTCTACTTTTCCTTTCAGAACTCAGCCTAGGATTCCACTGTAAAAACCAGCACCATAAAACCAGTCATTTGGAAGAGAAACCAAATCCTTGAAAGCAGCAGAGTAAATAAAAGCACAAACAAAAGTGAGCAATAAGGAACAATATAATCTTGAAAATGGGGCAGTGCGCCTGCTGACTGTTTCATCTGTGCAAGTGCGCATCCAGCTGGTGATCCGCCAATTGCACTGGCTACCAATTGAGTACCAGATCCGCTTCAAGGTGCTGGTGCTAACCTTTAAAGGCTTATATGGCCTAGGACCAACATATCTAAGGGACGGCCTCTCCCCATACATGCCTCAGAGAGCCTTCCACTCTGCGGATAACCATCTGCTAGTTGTCCCTGGCCTGAAAGATGTTTGCCTAGCCTCAACCAGGGCCAGGGCTTTCTTGGCCCTGGCCCTGGCCTGGTGGAACATGCTCCCAGTCGAGATTAGGGCCCTGAGGGATCTGTTACAGTTTTGCAGGGACTGCAAAACAGAGCTGTCCTGCCAGGCCTTTGGTTGAGGCAGCAGGCATCTACCAGCTGGCCTCCCTGATGCTGTTGCAGTATGCTGCTATTAACGAGACCTTTATGGCTTGGCTTTGGCCCATTCATTCCCGGCTGTAGGAACCTCAAATTGAAATTTGCTGCACTGTCCACTTTAACTGTTTTTAACGATTTTACCGCATTAATTTAATGCTTGATATTTATTAACTGAAGCATTTTAAGATTGTATTGGAATCTATTGTTGTGATATGTCCTAAGCCTGCTTGTAGGAATGGTGGGGTATAAATTGAAATAATAAAATAAAATAAAAAACAAGGTGTGGAGTACCAACATTACAACAGCAATATCCAGCATAAATGCACAATTTAAAAAAACCCAAACCCCTCAGTAACAGTCAGCAGATATAAATCAGAACAGCTGTAAAATATCCAAAACACCCACCATGACAGTTATGCATGTTAAACATAGCTAAATATTAAATGGATACAGGACTGCAATCTAAGATGGGAAAAGCCCACAAATATTGCAGTTAGCAATAAGTTGGTGTTTATTGTTAACAAGACTCACATTTGTTTAAAAAGCTGCTTTGCCTGCGCTGTTCCAGTGTCACATCACGAGGTGCAGAAATACAGCAATGTGTCTGCAAAGCACATGCCAACATAGAATACTGGCCATGGATCCCAGGCCCTGGAAGGAAGCTATAACCTGTAAGCAAGAACACAGCATTTATCATCACATGGCTGTTGTGAGATGAAAGAAATCTCAGTTGCTTAAGTGGTTCATTATCTGAACTGATTAGATCTGCACTGTCTACCAATAAAACAATACACCTGAAGGAAAGACAGATGATGCCAAAGCATGTCAAGATATCTTAGAAAAAGCATCTCTCATATGCATCAAAACGTCTCTATAGCATTTGTAAACTGTAGGGAATTCCTGTATTAAAAATAATTATTTCTTTTTCAATCTGCTGCTTGATTCATCAGGGACATTTTTTTATCAATTAAAAGATTCAACCATTTAATCAGAATTGCTCAACTACGTACTGAAGACCTAACAATAAATCATCCTTGTGTTGTGTAAGACATTCAGAGTCAGGAAAGCACAGGGAGTGTGTATGTTAAACCTCTGTTAATGTATGGAATATTAAAAGGCAAGGGCCTGCGTTTGGAGTCTGCAGTGACGAGTCCATTTTTCTGGTCTCTGAAGAGCATGCTTCTCTCCCATCCCCTTAATGTTATGCTCACTGCTGTAGTTCTCCTGGGGAAACAGAGGCTTACCTTAAGAAAGTAAAACTATTGCTACAGGAGCAGCAAACTTACATCTTATTCCTGCTAACGATGATCTCCCCTCCACTCAAGTGAAAAAGCAGCTTGGGAAAGGGAGGGCAATTTGAGGAGAGAAAAAAATGACAACTGGGGAACTGATTAAGGAGTCCCTTTTCCAATTCCTCTGCTAAAACCGTACAATGTTTACTCTGGCTCTTAGAAAGTATAGAAACTAGAAGTATACATTCTTCAGTTCCCTCCTCACATTAACTCTTCTATTTGTGAGAACAATAACGCAAGCTAAATTGGAGTAGGTATGCCAGCCTCCAAGAGGGACCTGGGCATCTCCTGGAATTATAAATGATTTCCAATCTACCAAGGTCAGTTCCCCTGGTGAAAATGCCTGCTTTGGATGGTGTTATACCCTGCAAAGGTGCCTCCTTTGCCCAAACTCTTCCTTCCCCAGGCTCTACCCCCAAATCTTCAGAAACTTCCCAACTCAGAGCTGACAACCCTAAATGGAAATAACCATTCATACAAACATGCTTGTGTCATTTATAGTTGAGAGCCACTGCCTACCCTACTTCTGACTCAAGGGAAGTGATTGGTTACTGGCAGGGAAAAAGTGTCTCCCCCAATGTTCCCTCTAACTGTGGAG